GGCAGTGGGGAGGGGGCTAGCGAGGCTTCCCGGAATGCTTCCTGGCTCTTCCCTAAAGCGCCTCGCACCAGCTGAATCTTCTGCCTCAAATGCCTCCGCCACTTCCTGACTTGCCCTTATCTTGGCAAGGGAGCTATTGGGGACAGGGTGGAGGAATCAAGCCCAGAAGAGGAGCACCCCTTTTCCTTCTTGTGCTGGTTGGGGGACTTGGCTGGAGAACAGTCCCAGGAGGTTGCTGCTAAGGGGTGCCTGTTTCCAGCTTCTGGAGTAGACATAAACCTGCTCCTTTGCCTCTCTAAGGAGGCCCAGCGTTAGGCTGAAACCCTTGCCTCCCACCTACCCAAAACAAGGAGAGGCAATGCCTTCCTTCGTTTGTTCTACTTGTTGATTGTAAGCTTCTCGGGGCTGAGAAGAATTGCTGCAAAACTGAGTTTCCTGAAGTGGACTACTAGACTCCTAAATAACCTAAAAAACAATCTAGTAAAAAGAAAAATCAACCAAAAGAGCAACATGCAAACAAAAGCAAATAAAACACCGCCAGGAGAAAAACAAATTGAAGTTTAATTTGTGTGTATTGTTTAATGGACTGCTAAATTGGCCACACCCACCCAATCATATGACTACCTAGCCATGCCCACCCAACCGGTCCAGGGCCCCAACAGTCTGAGGGACCGTGACTTGGCCCCGTTTAAAGTTTGAGGACCCCACCCTACCTGGTAGTCTCCCATCTACATGCTTCTCAGATGTATCTTCTACTTAATTGTTTAATATAGCCAAGAACAGCAAGATGCTGCCACCTAGCTGGGCTTAATTTATATGTGATAATAATTTTATAACTATTAACCTACCTTTTAAACTGCAGATATTATAAATTGGTTTTAAGCTGGTGTGTTTGTTAATAGTTCTTTTTAGCAATAAAAACAACAAAAAGCATAGAATAATCTGCTATTACCAATTTCGCAGCACTAAGCAAAAGTGCTTCTCTGTCATCTTGTATACCTCAATCACCTAACTAGGCCCACCTAATTGTAGCTTTTATCAGCTTGCTAGGACAAACATCTTCAGCTTTTGCTTTTAGTTAAAGATGGGAAAACAATAAGATAAAATTCTATTTTGTTACTAGTTCCAGTTTTTAATATTGTTTTAATGTTTTGATATTTTAAGGAAGTTATTAATAAATCTACTAAGACAAGTGATAATTGAAGGCTGAATAAATGGTTAAATTGGTTTCCCCCCATTAAATAGCCTTAAAAGGGTCAGAGCATCAAGTATTAGATAGCATGTTCAAAACAAAAACATTACATTTCTTCAAAGCATTCAGAGGGGGTATGCAGCAGGTTTTATTCACCAGTTCTGGAGAACCGGTAGCGCAAATTTTGAGTAGTTCAGAGAACTGGCAAATATCACCTCTGACTGGAGATTTTTACAGTATCCTTCCCCACAGAACCAGTAGTAAAAATAATTGAATCCCACCACTGAAAGCATCCCAAAGAGATTAACATTTCCTTCTTTTACACATTTCAACTTTTACAGCCCACACCAGATTGAGGGTTTTCTGACTTGAGGATAGAGTAAATGTAACAGTATGAGAAGTATACTCATTATTTCAGTGTGATTACTTTGTTAATTATAGCAAACAAACAGGGATTTGATTTGGTAAGTATTGTCAGCCTTCAAGAACTTTTCCTGACATCTTTTACTGCTTGACTCTTGCCAGCTGCCATGGAATGGGGGCGGGGATACAGAATGCTTAGAATAATATTAACTCAGAAAATTATATGCAGTCTCAACACGTTTAATTTAAGCCATTCCATTCCACAAAAAACTTCAAAGGGACAAAGATGGGACGCTTTCCTGTGCAACTGAATACACTTATCTTTTCTAGGCCAAGGTCAGCCGTCTTGGCATACCAAATGGGTGAGAAACCACCTGAAGATGTACCTCACATGACATTATACACACCTCAGATTGGATGACCAGTCTGGACTCCTGGGGGAGGGAACTTGGGATAATTTTCAATATGTAATTTCCGTGCCTATTTGCCTCAGATCTTGGCTTTCCTTTTGTTGCTATCGTTTCAAATCCAGTAAAAGTACTTTTCTCTATTTTAATGGAGTCTAGGTTTTCTTTCCTGGATTTCGAATGGAGGCACAGCTGACAAATATAGGATTGGACTGTGTTTGTTACTGGAGCAATACAAAGTAAACTGAAGAGCACATTAGTCCTGATATCTTTTCAACTTGAATTATTAATGCATTTTCTACATCTGGGAAGTGTGTCCTAGACTAGAAAGCAGATTGAAGTAATGCAACCAACAAAAGTAGATAAAATAAACTAGGTCTTTAAAAAAGGACTTATTGTGATCAAAACTCTGCATTCTTCAGTTATCTCAAGCACTATTCTGCATCTGCAATTAATTGCAGGCATTTTTGCTGATAAGTATACACTAAATTGCTGCTGCCAAAATAGGACAAGACTCAAGTGCTTTGAAGATAAGACTAATACATGCTTTATGCATTAAATACATCAAAGTTAATTGTATGCTTCTTAGGCTTTTGGAAAAGCTATTATAATGTAATCACTATTAAATGTAGTTCAGCTATCTTTTAGATTCACCATAACTCAGAGGTGCTCTTCTTCATAGGAATAATTGGCAATATCAGTATGAGATCTTGGAAAGCTTTTTAAAGCCAAATCACACTTGCAGTATAACCAAGAACAGGATTGGTATACAGTATTTGTTATACTAAATGAAACATCTTGCTGCACTGTTTTAAGTTGTTTTTCTCCTGGAACTTTACCAGGTTGGAGAAAAATGGCTTCAAGCCAAGAAGTGCAACCAAGTTAGGAAAAGTACGTTTTTACTTCTTCTTGCCATATATTACTTAATTAAATGCGCAGGTGTTCATTTCACTATAACATGCCCACACCTGCTTTAATTACAGGGATGATTACTAAAGGAAGAGTAAAAAAATATTCATTAGTTCTATACAATGATCTGTTATGCTATGAGCAAATGCAAAGAAAAAACTTAGCACACCAAGCATCTAGACTCCGGAGATACCAGAGTTTATGAGAACATTAAGCAACCAAACACTTACAGATGGGATACACCCTATTGTAGCTTATTCATCACATACTGCTTTTTAACAGCTATATTCTTACAATTTTCTGTGTAAAAGATGATACAAAAGGTGATACACCAGCTGCTGCTAATACTTCTGTCTCATTCCAAAGCTTTATTATTCACTTTCCAATTCTAGGTCAGCACCTCGTAAGCAGTCTCTCCATTCTGCCATGAATCTTCCTCTTCCTCTATCTTACCACCTCAGCTGCTGAGCCATGATAATCTGACTCTTGATCTTGAATCTGACAATGTTGCTCCAACTGAGCATGTGCTTCAGGACTGTCAGCCTTAGGGAATCAGAATTCAAATTAGACTGTTAGTCACAGGCTCTTCCTATTCAGCTGGACCCAATCAGATAATAAGGAATAACATCCAGGTCTAGACATATACCAAGGGAAGCAGAGCAGTATTCCTCGGTGAAGGTCCTTGTGGGGCAGGGGCTGAGTAATTGCAGCCAGTTTTCTCCAGACATTTAGGTAGCTGCTTTGCTTGCAACCTTTGTTTAAACAACAGCTGTTTAAAATCCTAGTTTGTAGCTGTTATTTCTGTTTGTTTGTCACCCTTTGTCTCTTGGACCAGCTGACAACCTGATTTGGTTTTCTGCAAGTCTTAGAACATATTTGAATTAAGCTATTGCTTCTTATTTTGCATTTTGTAAGCAAGCACTCTCTGCTAGGCATTTGAATTACATGGTCTGCGGTTATCAGCTTCTGAGTACTGTGTCTGTGTGTGACCAAATCCTGAAACACAACAACTTCCCAATTCCATCTATTCCTGCATCAGTCCATTTACATCTAATGCTTTCCACAATGATTTCTTGCTTTCTATTAACCACTCCTGCATTCTGAAAACAAAATTCTGAAATACCATCTATAAGACTAACACAAAAAAACTATACTAAACTACCAACCTGAGCATCGCATTTTCAAAAGCACATGGATATTCTAGAACCTCTCTCATATGGATAGGAATTATGTTTATTGGACATGCATCAAAACATGTGGCTTTGTTCTCCACATGGTAAAATCTATATTTGTATGAAATACAAATATTTCAAATTGTTATTTTCTTTATGCAAAATAACTGGAAAGGAAAGGAACCCACAATCATCAAATTTTACACTTAATTTTACATGTAACTAATTGGGATTTAAATACACAAAACAAGATGATCAAGTGCATTCAAATTGCTATCACATATACAGCAAAATCTGATATCGTAATGATGATCAAACACTATTCAAAAACTGCAGTTATTAACATATCAAATTGCAAGCTTTGAACAAAAAAAAATGGAAAACTTCACATTGGTTGAATACAGTCTAAAATAGATGTTCCATAAATGTTTATTACTCCTATAATGTTAAAATGAATAACTCTGTGGCAACATGACTACGGAAACATCTTTGGACAGCACTGGCTCAATGGCCTTGAAATGGAGAAAAGAACTTCCCCCTGTAGTCAGCAACGACTAGTGGAATAAATTCCGCAAACAAAACTCAACAAAATCTTCAAATACAAAATTCCAAAGATACTTTGGCTTGATCATGAACCATAGCAGTAAGCCAGCTTCTTTCTTATGTAACTACAGATAATCCTTGACTTACAACAGTTCATTTAGAGACCATTAAGTTAGCACTGAAAGAAAGTTACTTATGACCATTAATGGACCGTTATGACGGTTGCAGCATCCCCATAGTCATGTGATTGACTTTTGGATGCTTGACAACTGGTTCATATTTACGATGGTTGCAGTGTCCCGGGGTCACATGATCAATCATCTTTTGTGACATTCTGACAAAGTCAATGGAGAAGGAAGCCAGAGTGGGTTAACTGGGTTACTAATTTAACAATGGCAATGATTCACTTAACAAGGAAAGTTGTAAAACAGGGCAAAACTCACTTAACACATTTCTCACTTAGCAACATAAATTATGGGCTCCATTGTGGCCGTCTGTCAAGGACTATCTGTATACAGTATATATAGCCTCAACTCCAGGAAAAGATGGGTGGATAGAAGTTTGCCACTATGCAATGATTTGGGTCTATTCAACATTGTGAGAAAGCATATTCTTGGCTCAGCATGAGCAACTGGATTTGGAGGATAAAGTTCTGTGTTATGATTCTTTTCTAGGTATTACTTGCGACACAGTCATTCAAGCAACATTTTAAAGCCATACAGAAACAAGTTACTTAAAGGCACTGGGATGTGGCTTGTTAATCAGGTTAGTTCTTTTGCAGTTTGTCAGGGGTAAGGAATGCTGACACTAACCATCAGGCAGATTTAATTTCAGTTATGCCTAAGGAAAAGCTTGTTCTCTGTTCAGCTTCTTCCAAACTCAGAAATGTGATAAGCATTGAATACTATCAGGACAGCTCTTCAGTTCTGACTTTTTTAGTCTGTTCACTTGATTCATACTGTGGATCTTTCCTCTTATTTTTCTGCTGGTGAAGTCTCTCTTCTTTCTTTTTCAGATAAATGGACATATTATCAAAAGAAACCTTGTAGATATTTTGGAAGCAGCTCCCTTTGTCCATAGCACCTACAGAAAATAGAGTAAGTAAGAATTTTAAGTAACAATTTTAAATAACAGCACCTGGCAAATCAGTAAATATTTATAAGCAGGGATTTTGTTTATGCCTAAGATGAGAACAGATACTTAAGTCCTTATAAACCTATTGCCTACCATGGAAAGAGGAAAAAAACTATTCCAATTACAGCTACACAAAGTTGTAGGTTTTGCTTTCCCCACATTGGATAACCTGGCAGCAACAATTCTTTCAGATTAGCTAAGTTGTTTCCATCCCATTGGTTTATGACAAGTAAAACTTTAGCCCATGCTCGGTAATGATAATGGTCATATCCAAACTATTAGCAAAAGAACGGATAACCACATTTAGACTACAAACTCTCCAAATTTCTTGTCCTTTTAGTTGCTGCAGTTCACTATTAAGATAACTGATCCTCCCAGTCACTTGTAAAAGAAAGAGAATAGATTTGATTAATTAACTAAAACACATATTACTAATAAACAATGGGGAGAAGTGTCCAACAGAGGTCACTATGACATCACTTGCACTGTGATATTGTTGTGCAAATGGCACAAAAATTAAGTAATTTATATGTAATTTATATGTGATAAATTATGTATGTCATTTGCATACTGATATTTATAGGATTATTTACTCTTTCCAAATGTCCAGGAGGAAAATGGTAAGCACAGCTGTTATCAGTAGCTATTAACAATCTACTTTTTAAAAATACATTTCTGATTCCATTAGAGCAGGACTGAGAAATGATTAGCCTGCTGCCTCTTGGTCATATGTAGCCTAAATATTCCCATTTTACTGAAAACTCTCAAAAATCCAAACATGGAAACAAAACTGTAATGCTCCAAAAATAAGCAGAGTTTAAAAATCAAAGACCATCTCCCAAACTACTCCCAAACCAAGTTTCACTCATAAATCTATCACATGGCTGCTTCAACCTCTCCTGAAACATTAAGGGTGCCAATCCGCCTCAAAGAGCTTGTTTAAGAGATTAATTGCTTACCTATGAAGGATTAAAAACTGAATAATACACATGGTAATTCTATGACAATTTCTCCTTTCTCCCATCTTTTTTGTCAGTACGCATTACAATTGAGAATTGGTTGCTTGGTTCCTCACCAGACAATGTCATAGGAGTGCACTTCTCATTTTGGCAAAGATTAGTACCCATTAGGAGTTTGTGGTAAGCATCATGCAGTTCAAATGTAACTGACAAGATGAATTACTATTACTATTAATCTTCTCATCATTCCTATCACCCATCCCTTCCCACTTGTGACTGTATGAGTGTAACTTTGTCGCTTGTATCCTTACGATTTATATTGTTTCCTAGTATGATTTGATTGCTTATTGTAACCTATGACTACATTAAGTGTTGTACCTGATGATTCTTGACTCTTGACAAATGTATCTTTTCTTTTATGTATACTGAGAGCATTTGCACCAAGACAAATTCCTTGTGTATCCAATCACACTTGGCCAATAAAAGAATTCTAATTCTAATTTAAGGATATTAACTGGTACTTTACTCAACTACTATGCAGAACTAAAAACAGCTATCATTATTTATTTAATTTTATTTGTTTGTCAAACATGTACAAGATAACAAGTATAGGTATGAACATAAACATGAACAAAGGAAGTAAATACAGATAAATGGGGACAGTAAGATAGGAACGGTAGGCATGCTGGTACGCTTATGCACACCCCCTTTAAGGACCTGTTAAGAGTGGGGTGAGATCCACGGTAAACCGTTTGAGATTGAAGCTGTGAAGGTTTGAGGCTGTAACAATGGAGTTGGGATGCCTCAGCAAACAAAATAATCACCAGCTTTACATATCTATTAGTCTTTCTATCTGACTGCACAAAATTGTCATCCATTTTTTATTTCAGCAACTGTTCTAAAAATGGTTGGAATATTCATTCGCACCCATCTTACCCATTTTCAACATGTTACAGCAGAAGAGATACTTTGTTCCCCTTTAGAAGAGGGAGAAGGAAAAGAGCTATTAAAATGCTGGCAACAAAAAGATACAGCAACCACCATTTTCATAGGCATAGTGACACTAATTAGGCATTAAGAGCAGGACTTATTAACCAGCTCTCTGTTAATTATCTCCAATAATCACTATCATTTTAATGGTCCCCTTTCCTCATCTGCTGATACAGTTAAGATCTGTGCACAGCATTCTACTTACCAGGAGGGGGTAAATCTGAGGGAATGACTCTATTCTGTTCTTATGGTATTCAGCTGTTCTTCTGCGGCATCAGTAAGTTGGGCATTTTAACACTTGATCCCTGTGGTTTAAAGCAGTGTTTCTTAATCTTGGCAGCTTGAAGATGGGTGGACTTCAACTCTCAGAATTCCTAAACCAGCACAGCTGGCTGAGGAATTCTGGGAGTTGAAGTCCACCCATCTTCAGAGTCAGCAAGATTGAGAAACCCTGAGCAAGGAGGCTTCCAGATAACTTCTCCCACCTCCAAGAACCAATGCTCATACAGAAACCAAAGCTAAAACTAAAATCAGCTTGAATAGAACTTCAGGAATGGATTCTCCAAATCGTAGTCAGACCCTCTGTGTACAGTATTTGTTTGGTCTGTTAAACTCATCTTTCCTACCTTCAAACATTCTCCAATGGTCACATATGTACTTGGTCATTTTCACTAATTCTTTCTTGTCAACAATAGGCTGCAAACAAAACAGAACAACAATAGCTATTGACAATTTCATAGGAAGCAGGGGGCTTTTCGCACATGGTTGTACCGAGTACAGCTCCCATAATCTTTTGTTTTGACTGACCCATTTCCATGTTTTCATGAAGGTATACAACAACAAAAAGATATTCTACTTGTACTTTCAGATGAAAAATAAGTGAATCAGGTCAGTGCTTTTTTTTCTTTAACAGCAGATCTAGCTTTTTAATTTAGACTGCTGTGTATTGACCCACAATTACACTTGGTTTATAGCTATGCACACATACACATAGGGTTCCCAGCTTGAACTACCATACACCTTGTTTTCTTTTTCCCAAGTTTAACTGAGAAATCTTCAAACCAAGGTACAATATTCTAACAAACCAAAAGCCCTGCTACCAACAAAATGGCATGACAGATGTGACAAAGAAGTAATATTTACTTACTTCTGATCTTTCTTTTTTTCTTTTATATAGGGCATACATAAAATTTAGTTATGATTTGAACTGAGCTGCTATATCCCACTCAACATGTTCAATTACATATTGCCTAACAATACTCTAAATTTTAATCTGAGGGATCTATATTGAACTATATTTTCTTTTTAGAACTAGCAAAACACCAACCATAGAAAAATCATTAAAGAGCTGAAGTATTACACTACAGAAATGCACGGTAACCCAACCACAGTAATTCAGCAATTGATCCGAATTCTTTGCCATCCTTTGTCAGTCTATGATCATAAAACAATCTCTCACCTGCCATTGTCCATCCTTAGGTTGGTAGAATAGAAGAGGTATTTGTTGATTCTCCTGAAGTACCCAGAGCCCACCTGTTTCCTCAAATGCAACATCCCAACCTTTGTGGTTTAAGATTATGTGCTGTTTAGAAATTAAGCTCTGAGCACCGGCATCAAGCTGGAAGATGGATACTGCAGGAGTACTTTTAGAAGCAACCAACATTAGTTACTTTTATACATCAGGTTTCTTACATCAAATCAGCATGTTACATCAGGTTACTTACATTAATTACGTCAAATGATTCCCATATGGTGAAGAAAATGATATATCAAGTATATATCAAGGGATCTCCAAACTTATCAACTTTAAGACTTATAGACTTCAACTCCAAGAATTCCCCCAGCCAGCATGGAACTGAAGTTCACAACTCTTAAAAGTTGACAAGTTTGAAGACCCCTGGTATAGATTAATTCATGTCTAATCATAAGTAACTCTTGTTGAATTCATTAGAGGTTATTTTTAGGTAAATAACTATAGATGTCAACTCATAAAACATTTTGTATTAACGTTTTATAATTGACAACAGAACTGAAACTTTAGAAGCTCTGCAAAATTAGATAAGTTATCTCTAGTGTCAGCTGGTACATGCAATATGGTCACCTGAAGGAATTCGTAATATTTCAAGGAATAATCTCCATTATCTGCTATGAAGTAGCAGAAGTAATCTTACAATGTCAGCATTCTTTAAAAATCTACTATAAACTCTTATTATAATCCCTTAATTCAAATATGTTTCATATTATTCCTATATAATATCATCACTATATCTTAAGTCATTTAATGAATTGATTCTATAATATAGGTAGTCCTTGACTTATGATCAGAATTGAGCCCAAAATTTCTATTGCTAAACAAGACAATTATTAAGAGCTTTGACTTACGACCATTAACCAGTTGTTAAGTGAATCATTGCAGTTAAGTTAGTAACATGGTTGTCAAGTGAATCTGGCTTCCTCATGGACTTTTGTTTGTCAGAGGGCGCAAAAGGCGATCACATGACCCAGGGACACAGCAACTGTCATAAATACATGCCAGTTGCCAAGCATTTGAATTTTGATCACATGACTGTGGGGATAAGTATCAAGACTGGTCATAAGTCACTTTTTTCAGTACCATTGTAACTTTGAATGTTCACTAAGCAAATGGTTGTAGGTCAGCGACTACCTGTAAGTAGAAACTTGATATAAATCAGACATAGCTTGTAATGAAATAATGTAATTGTCTGCTTCCTTTACAGTAATAGTTTTCCTCTTACCAGTCATATAAAACGGCAATGTAATTTCCTTCACATTGATAAGCTATTCTTGAGACTGTGTATTTCTGAGGAGGAAAAGAAATGTAAACATGATTGGCAAGAGCTAATTTTTTTATGTGGAAGAAATAGAAGAACAGAAGTAAAAGAAACCTGGCATCAAAAACATACATATCAGGGTTTTTTTAATAACAAAGACAAGCTATCTCTTATTCACTCTACTCTGATTTCTATTCTGAGTTGAGCAAAGATAGCAAGATGAAAAATACAAAACATCTAAGGGATGAGTAGTTAGTATGCAACAATGTTCCCGTACCACTATGATTGGTGTAACCACTAAGGCCATGATGGCGAACCTATGGCATGCGTGCTACAGGTGGCACGCAGAGCCATTTGTGTCGGCACACGAGCCGCAGGCAAACTTACCTCACTGCACATGCATGCGCCTCACAGCTGATTTTCCGGTAAGGAAGGCTTTTTTCAAACCTCTGGGAGGCCTCAAAACAGCCAAAAATCAGCTGTGAGGTGTAGTGCAGGTAAGGGGGGGCAGAGGGGATTGCGCGTGCATGCGCAGGGGGCTTGAGGGGGCACATTGCCATGTGAGCCATCACTGCGCTAAGACATGCATATTGTTTAGTTACAATTTTTAGAATATCAGTACATCTGTCCACATGGTGGAAGTTAGTACAACAGAGAGACAGAATATCTACTTGTCCATGCTTGTCTGGAATAATTTAGCATTCCCCAGACAAAATGCTGTCGTACTATCTCTGAGATCAACCCAATAGCATTTATTGAAAATTAGTAAAAAATGAAAGTAAGCCCCCAATAACATGAAGAAACATTTCTAAACACATTTAAATATTAGTATATTCATTTTGTGAAGTAATTGCATTCTATAATGGCTACTTCTCAAAATATTCTTTACCAAAAACCTGTCTTTTATAGAATCAAAAGTTGATTTTCAGTAGCATAAACCTGCTCTCAACTTCATGACAGTTCAATAAATTCATTCAAAAAAGAAAACACAAGTGTAAAAAAGCAAGGAAAAATGGAAACATGCAGACTATATTATAAAGAACATCCACACAAAAGACAATTACCTTCTCATTCTTACCAGCTTCATTTATATTCAAATTATTCAACTGAAAGCAATGTAGTTCTTTCCCACTTTTATACTTCCAGAGCCTCAATGTACCATCCTAGAAGTTCAAGAGAGGAGCTAATTATTATTTTTGCCAAAGGAAAGGCATTGAGACGTCGCTCATATAAACACGTTAACAAGGTTGATATCGCATTAAGCTGTAATTCCTTTATCTATAATTGGTTAAACAAGCTGTAATGGCTGGGTCCACACCTAACTTTAAGCATAGGTCATGATGTATAAATCACCACAATGTGCATAATATAATTTGATGAACAAAAATACAAAGAAACCACATTTTGACAGCATAATTATAAATTCAACCAATGATTTAAAAGCCCGCTTGGATACATGCATATTTATCTCATGTATATTCAGCAATGAATATTCATGATTCCTAATGATTTCTAATAACACTTTACTATATTTCATATTGAGTCAAAGTAGATATTCATAATGAATAATGTGGTGTAAAACACATGGGAGAATAATTCCCGACAGTGTTAATCGTTCTTCATGTTTCAGCCAAAAACATGAGTGACAACAAGATAAATTGAATCTTTTATTTATTAGAGGAAAGAAAAATAGATTTTTATAAGCATTTATTAACATTCTAGGTGTATAGAATCCCAGATAATTTACATACCCCGGAAGCAGATAAAAGATGGTCAGGAAAGTTTGGCAGTACCAATATTCTGCTGACAAATCTAGAAAGAAAAAAATAAACAGAAACAAAAGCAATAAAGAATAAAATTATATGTATATACAGCAATGCAAGAAATTTTGTATCGAGACTGATATCTTTCCTTGTATTTCTAGAAAAATCTGCACTTGAAAAGTTTACCCCAATATTTTTTTTCTTTTTAATAAATTAGTTTTAAATAGTCCAGCAATCTATTCAGAAACTTGAAATACATTCTTCTCCAATCTATATATATAAAAGCAAAATACCACTCAGGCATCATCACAAAATATCCAGAACCGTAAAGCCTACAAAGTTGAAATTGGCACGTATGTTCCTCTTGCCTTCTAGGTGCTCACTAAGAAAGGATTTTTCAAAATGACCATCACAGCATTAGTATTTCCTATATTATTATTAACAGGCTCTGGTGCTAAGGAGTTCTACTTCCCCTCCCCACCTGAAAAGAAATCTGTTCCAAATGCAAAACACAAGCAGAGGAGAGGAGTTTCAGTTTCAGTTTCACAGCAGCCACCAGCTTTAGTACAGAACAGTTGAGCTAAGCCATGCTCAGGCTCCTTGCTGTTTCCTTCTTGCTCACACGGCAAATACTGTTTCACTTTCCAAACAGCCCTCAACTCTCTCACACACTGACCACATCTTAAACTTCATTGGAGACTAAGACTATCAGCATGTATGCAGAAAGAAGGATGTGCATGCACACAAAAGAAAATAATAATTCTTTGAAATACTCTTAGATTTTTATTAACAAATGCTTTTTACGGAATGGAATGTTCTAATGAATTATATGTTAGCTACATTTTGACAATAACAACATAAGCTTTTCTGAAAATTTTAATTCCCTTAGCATCCAACCTATTTCTTCCCAAATCTGAGCTAGAATAGATTCTTTAAAAATCCTCCAAGGAAGTGAACATTATTATTTTTAAGTAGTCTAAAGCATTTCTGATCCCAAGAGATTGATTAGAATACTAACTGTTATTAAGCTAGAGCTTAAATATGTGAGAACAATCAACCAATGGAACAGCTTGCCCTCGGAAGTTGTGGGAGCGTCATCACTTGAGACCTTCAAGAAGAGATTGGACTGCCATTTGTCAGAAATGGTGTAGTGTCTCCCCTTGGGTGGGGCGGTTGGACTAGATGACCTATAAGGTCCCTTCCAACTCTGATTATCTGTTGTTATAGCTTCTTTCTTCTTGTTTCCGTATGTTAGCAAAGAGGAGGAGTTTCCTTTCAATCACACTGAAAACAGCTTTTTGGTTACTTACTCTCTGTGACCCAGGCAAAAGGACACTATAACATGTGGTGCTTTCATCAAACTAACTCGGATCTTCTCATCTCGATCAGCTGTTACAATGTACTGGTCATCAGGACTCAATGTCTAATGATAACAGAGCAATAGAAATATGATCAATGACATGTTCAGGCATAATCATCCACCCACCCACTGTATCGTTTGTTTGGCTTCAAACTGATAATCTGAGAAAGACTGGGAGGAATAATTAAAAATTACTAGTGTTGTAACATTTTACAAACCTGTTTACATATATATGCATTTGTCTTAATACGGTAATTGCTAATATACAGAAAATCTTCTAATTTTTTAGTCTTATTTCACCAAGTTGAACTCATTAAGTAACTATGCAGTACACATTAGCTCTCAGCCCAAACTAGCACATAGGGGTGATTCTGAGAGGAAAAACAATAAGACTTATTCTTTTTTATCAAATTATTTATCAAACTTTAAAACTGCCCATTTCTCTCAGAGTGACTCTGGGCTGTGTACAGATAAAATATCAAACCATAAACAAACATATATATATATATATATTTTAAAAAGCATGGATTAATGAAAAATCAGTGTCAAAGTTAATTAAAAGGCAGGGAGAGGACTTTCAGGGCACTAGCCAGCCTCATGCCTGTAGGCAGCTATGTGAGTCCAATACAAAATTTCAGAAAACGCCTTTCTGGAAGGTCAAGAGAAGAATGTTCCACAGGGCAGGAAGAGGGCACAGAAGGCCCTCTTCTTGGACCCTGCCAGTTGGAATTCTTTATCTGACAGGATTTGTAACATACCTTCCCTGTCTGATGTACTAAGATGAAGATGGACTTAAATTTGATTAGCCTTTAATAAAATATATTATCCATTAAAAACTCATATGTACCAAATCCAACAAAAGAGACAAGTGTCCAAGCTCAATTGTTCCTGCATTTTTTGGTTCTGTTATTGAATAAGAATACACATCGCCAGATTTGTCAGCAACCAAAATTTTATCTTCTGCAGATGTTATTAACAGGGAGGTACATCTTCTCATGACAGGTCTGAAAAAAAAAATAGATATAATTCAACATTTTTGGACTTCAGAACCTAACATGGTCTACATGTGACCAACAAAAGCATGATAGATCTATAACACCCACCACAATCTAGAATTCTAAAAATGATTGGGAAAGATGCCCGAGACACCAGTCTGGAAGCATTAGATTCACAGCAAAAAAAAAAAAACAACCAAAAACCTTGCATCACAAGTGTGACATGTGAGGCTTGGCATGTTTGGGAGATTTGCTGATGTCATGGAAAGTGATTATGAAGCCATTGGCTTATCCAAAGGACCTTGCAGAGCATCACAAAAATATTTCTAGGGTGTTCTTCAGCTGGAGTGACAAAGGAAACATACAGGTGAAACTCAAAAAATTAGAATATCGAACTTTGGTTCATTTATTTCAGTAATGCAACTTAAAAGGTGAAACTAATATATGAGATAGACTCATTACATGCAAGCAAGATAGTTCAAGCCGTAATTTGTCATAATTGTGATGATGATGGTTTACAGCTCATGAAAACCCCAAATCCACAATCTCAGAAAATTAGAATATTATATGCAATCGATAAAACAAGGATTGTACATAGAACAATATCAGACCTCTGAAAAGTGTAAGCATGCATATGTACTCAGTACTTGGTTTGGGCCTCTTTTGCAGCAATTACTGCCTCAATGCAGCGTGGCATGGAAGCTATCAGCCTGTGGCACTGCTGAGGTGTTATGGAAGACCAGGATGCTTCAATAACGGCCTTCAGCTCTTCTGCATTGTTTGGTCTCATGTCTCTCATCTTTCTCTTGGCAATGCCACATAGATTCTCTATGGGGTTCAGGTCAGGCAAGTTTGCTGACCAATCAAGCACAGTAATCCCACGGTCACTGAACCAGGTTTTGGTGCTTTTGGCAGTGTGGGCAGGTGCCAAGTCCTGGTGGAAAATGAAGTCAGCATTCCCATAAAGCTTGTCTGCGGGAGGAAGAATGAAGTGCTCCAAAATCTCATGGTAAACAGCTACATTGACCCTGGACTTAATGAAGTGCAGCGGACCAACACCTGCAGATGACATGGCTCCCCAAATCAACACAGACTGTGGAAAATTCACACTGGACTTCAAGCATCTTGCAGTGTGTGCCTCTCCATTTTTCCTCCAGACTCTGGGTCCTTGGTTTCCAAATGAGATGCAACAGTTGCTTTCATCAGAAAAGAGGACTTTGGACTACTGAGCCACAGACCAGGTCTGTTTTTCTTTAGCCCAGGTAAGATGCTTCTGACATTGTTTGTTGTTCAGGAGCGGCTTGACAAGAGGAATACGACATTTGAAGCCCATGTCCAGGATCCGTCTGTGCATGGTGGCTCTTGATGCACTGAATCCAGCCTCAGCCCACTCCTTGTGAAAGTCCCCAACACTTTTGAATGGTCTTTTCCTGACAATCCTCTCCAGGCCGCGGTCATCCCTGCTGCTTGTGCACCTTTTTCTTCCACACTTTTCCCTTCCACATAACTTTCTATTAATGTGCTTTGATACAGCACGTTGGGAACATCCAACTTCTTTTGCAATTATCTTTTGAGGCTTTCCCTCCTTATGGAGGGTGTCAATGATGGTTTTCTGCACAACTGTCAGGTCAGCAGTCTTTCCCATGATTGTGATTCCTACTGAACCAGACTGAGAGACCATTTAAAGGCTCAGGAACCCTTTGCAGGTGTTATGGCTTAATTAGCTGATTAGAGTGGGACACTTTGAGCCTAGACTATTGAACCTTTTCACAATATTCTAATTTTCTGAGATTGTGGATGTGGGGTTTTCATGAGCTGTAAGCCATAATCATCTCAATTATGACACATCACAGCTTGAACTTTCTTGCTTTGCATGTAATGAGTCTATCTCATATATTAGGTTCACCTTTTAAGTTGCATTACTGAAATAAATGAACTTTTGCACAATATTCTAATTTTTCGAGTTTCACCTTAAAGCTAAAAAACAAATCCAAGCAGAACACTACATTTAGTATAACAAGGTAAGGAAAGTGTGTGTCTTTTGAGAGAGTCTTGATTTTTGGCAATTGCCTGGACCCATCCTTGCAGTTTTCTTGGGAGTGGTTTGCCCTTGCCTGCTTTCCAGGCTGAGAGAGAGTAAGCGACCCAGGAGAGTTCATGCTAAGAAATGTACGGTCTCTAGGTTTTAGCCTAATCCTATAACTGCTTTATCAAACTAACTCCCTAGAGAAAATATGCATAATAATTTCTGTTACTAATGCTTAGATTTTTTTTAAAAAAATTAAAAACATTTTTCTTCCTATACCTTATACTCAGACATTCCCAGGAAGGCTTTGTGCAGAAAAGAATTAATTGTTTGTTGTCATCAGTCAGAGCAAAGAACTTCCCTGTTGAAGAAAATGCACAGGCAAGGATAGTATTTGTCTTGCCTAGTGGCTTTCCAACCTCACTAAAAAGAGAAAAAAACATGAAACATTTGGTTCAAAAATAAATCATTTCAAGCACTTCAAATTGTATTTTCTGAGATAATATTTTCAATTATTTTACATCCATCCTTTGATCATTTAAAAAAATTAAGAAACATGGGAAGTATGAGAAGCTATTTCCTAGTATTTATTTTAATTATTTGATTTTACGTTGCGTTTTAATTGATATCATGGTAGAAAAGACACTGCAGAGATTATTTTCCCCAGTTAGCATGATTGTTTCTTTTTTGATATGAGATTGTAGTAGAAGTAATATTCTATATACCTGGGAAATTAAATACTCTCACCTTTCTTGTTTTTCTTGAAGTTTTTTGCTTGCAGTACTACAGTCATAAATAAAAAGATCATCATTGCTGTCAAAGTAAATGAATATACATCACATAAATATTTTCTATGGAAGCAATCTCGTGTTGAACTCAAAACAGCAATGTTCCCTATGTCAATAGGTTAGCAACCTACAGCTCTATTTTTTTCCAGACCTAAACCTAATCTCACTTGTTCGCATTCTCAGTACCTATTCCAATTTCTCTGAATCTTTGTTAAAATATGATGCCCAGAACAGAAAATAGTACTTGAGGTAGAACATGATCAATGCAAATATAGTACAGCAATGTACCTACTGATATTGCTGAGTAAAACTGAATTTGCCTTTTCAGCAATCTTATATTCAACATGGACAGGCATAAGTCAAAATACTTCTTCAAAATATGAACATCAACTCAAATATACCCTATCTTGTTTCTGATTTTTTCCCATTTCTACTTTATTGTTATTTTACCTTTATTTTTCAGCTTGTATGCTGCTTCAAGTACTCTTTCATCTCACTTCTTTTGTTTCTGTCTTATCTACAGTGTTATCTCATACCAATTTGTTTCATCTAAAATTTGCAAAGTATTTCTTCCCTCTCTCAGTCTGCCAAGCCCTTAACATTTGTCTGCTAATTAACAAATACCCAATAGTCTATGTTGACTTACAAATCAGATTACTATCGCACCTTTTGTCAAATTCTATGTGGAAATCAAGATACATTATATTCATAGAATCCCTACAGTCTATTAAGAAAGATAATTTTATAACAAAAAGAATACCTTCACCAAAAAAATCTATGTAGAAATCTAACAATAAATTAAAATGTCCACAAGTTCTTAATATTTCCATTTGGACTCTTAAATGTTTCCATTGATTAGATATTGGTTAGGTTCTATTAAAATACAGGCAATCTTTTGTGCCTTCCTCTATCCTGGGAATGAAAAAGTGTTAAAGAGAAGACTTTAAGACAAGGGTCCCCAAGCTTGGCAACTTCAAGACTTGTGGACTTCAACTCCCAGAATTCTGGAAGTCAAAGTCCACAAGTCAAGTTTGGAGACTTCTGCTTTAAGAGGTGGTCAGAAATTTCCTAGGTAGATTGTGCTTGGTAGAGTTTGTCTCCATACAGATACTTGGAATGAAGTCTTCCATCACACTCAATACTTTTTAAAAAAATGCTTTTGGAGGGTTATTGAATCATTGTAAAAGATAACTACTGCTACCATTGCTGCCTTTTATTAGAAACTTTGCATTTGTTTTGGTGGCTTTTAGTTACTGACTCACTGGAAGAGCCTAATGCTGGGAATGATTGAGGGCAAAAAAAAGGAAGGGACAGCAGAGAATGAAGTGGCCAGATGGAGTCACTGAAGCAGTCGGTGTGAGCTTAAATGGACTTGGGGGGGGGGGGGGGATGGTAGAGGACAGGAAGGCCTGGAGGAACGTTGTCCAGAGGTTTGGATGGGTCAGAGTCATACATGACTTCGCGATTAACAACAGTTACTGATGATTCCAAGTCCCTGCAGTTTTTCTGACAAGGGTTTTTTGGTCATTATTTGCCACTTCCTCCTTCCTAAGGCCTGTTCCAACGTCAAGCTCTGTGCATCAAAACCAGCAGTCTCTAGTCTGATGCCTTAACCAAATCGGCTCTTTCTTCATGTTAGCAGTGTCATAATTTAAGCGTGCACAATTGATAGAAGCTTCACTCTCTTTTTTCTCCGTATTGCTTTATCTTTGCCTCTTTGCTAAACTTCCACTGTCGGGTCTGTGCATGTACAGTATCTAAACTAGCCCTCGCCAATTTGATTTCTTCAAAATATATTGGACTACCATTCCCATGATGCCAATCAGCATCCATCCTGTTAACAGTAATGGAAGCAGTTAATCTACAGGCAAAAAGGCAGGTGAAAGTTTATTTAAACTCCAACCTTTCACACACACAAACACACACGCGCCCTTTCACTCACTTGGCCTCTTTATAATTAGCAGCGAAGAACTTCGTGTCGCCGCTAACCACCATCAGATCCTCGCGGACGAGGAGCTTCGGAGAAACACTCACGATCCCAGAAACCACCTCCGCCTCCATCGTCCTGCCCAGACCCACGTTGGGGCGGCCGAGAATCGTCACCAGCTAATGATGTCATTCCCCGGCCTACTAATGATGATCTCAGAAAAGCCTGGCTTCTCATAGAGATGAGCTTATCGTTGTTTGGCACTTGAACTGCTAACGTGACCACAATTAGTCCTTATTCCTTTGGGGGAATATAACCGTCAGAAGATGAAAAGTCTTGTGGATATTTCCAACGGAACGGGGCCATAGGTTTCCATAATCTCGTCTCGTGGTAATAATATGAATGCCCTTGGAGGAGGCGCCATCATAAGGAGGAAAGGAAATGGAATAAAAGGAAAGGAAATGCACTCATAGAGGGGAATATTTGCAGTTCGGGGTTGAAATGAGGGGGTCCTTGGTGTTGTTGATGAAGTTACCTAGTTTGGGTAATGAAATGTCTGCAAGGAAACAAGCAAGCTCAGAGAGCACCAAGAAACCCCACCCGCCATATCGCACTCAAGACGTCCTTCCAACATTTTTCGCTGAAGCTCTATCCACCTCCCTCTGTCTTTGTTTCGAAGTACACGGCAACCTCATCTCTCAAACTCAAGGGAACTCTCAGTTACAGCTCCCTCCGCTACTAAGCAACATAAACACCTCCTACCCACGTGAGCGGCGTACAGTACTTGCCTCGGGAAGGAAGATGGGGCGGGAACCTTTTCTTGGCGGCCAAAGGAGGAGGCGGAACAGGTTTTGGGAGACGCCAAGATGGCGGCCACCCAGATGGCCGGAGGCGGTCGTGTCGCCGTGATTAAGGTAACGGAGGATGAGGTTCATTAAGGAGTTGCTTATGGATTCCGTTTTCATGTTGGGCGTCCGCCTGTAGCCAGGAGTATAAGCAATTGCCCCGCCGTATGTCTGTGCCAATAATCACATTTATTGTCTGTCTGGATTTGACCTGAAGTTTCCAGCTGGTATTATTTGATATTTAGGACATCTATAATTTTATTCGGGGTATCTACTACTATCTGGATGTACATTGTACACGTGGATTATTTTCCAGTCTGCAAGGCGAAGAATAAACCGTTGGCGAGTAAAAACATAAATCAGGAAGGTGTACAATTCTTATCTTATGAATTGTCATGAGTCTCGGCCCACTTCATCAAATATATAGCTAATAGTTTTGAAGAAAACTGACATGAACATACCCTTGGGGCAGGGAAGAGAAAAAGGGTAATGGTAGCAGGGAAGAGAGAGACCAGGAGCAGTGTTGTTAAGAGTTCATATGCAGCACCTTGAGTTCTTGAATTCAGTTGTGGCTAAAGTGAATTTTATTTTGAAAGCTGCCTGAAAAATACCGGTTGTATTTCTTTGCTTGAGAGAGTCGATAAGATTGACAAAAGAAATATTTTAATTATTTAGGCATAATTAGGACAGGAATATTCATATCCAAATTTTACCTCTCACAATGTTTTATTTATTTGAGGGCGGACCAATTGTAATTTCTGATGGGTATGACGGCAGTGTCTAATGTTGCTTGGGTCTTGCAGAGTTCTGGCTGAATTGACTTGAATTTGACTTATCAACTCATTTCTGAATAGAATGGAATAGGAATAGAATAGAATATTTATTTGGCCAAGTGTGATTAGACACACAAGGAATTTGTTTCCAGTGCAGAAGCTCTCAGTGTACATAGTCAATGGGGAAGCCAGATTCATTTAACAACCAGGTTACTAACTTATCAACTGCAGTGATTCACTTAACAACTGTGGCAAGAAATGCTGTAAAATGGGGCAAAACACATTTAACAACAGAAATTTTGGGCTCAGTTGTAGTCGTAAGTCAAAGACTACCTGTACATATAGCAACAAGCCTTTCTTTTAACTGAAAACAAGATTTCAGAATTTTTCACAAGGAATTCTTCTATTATCACTATTTCATGCGCTTGTTACTCATCTGTGGCTATGTTACTGTATACCTTGCATATTTTTGAAAAATACATGCTAATTAAAAGATTGTTCATCAAATATCTTTTCTGATTTTTATAGGCTTTATTAGAGCAAGCATGGGGTCCAAGAAATATGCCTTCTCTTTATCTCTGCACCAAACCAGGTGATTCTAAAAAAGGCTTCCCAAAAGGTAAGACAATTTAAAATAATTATTGCCAAGAAAAATATTTATTATTGAAACAACTAAGCAATTGCTATTTTTCATATTTTGTAGAATGTCAAGATTCAAAGCTGTTGTGTGGGTTTTGTTATAGGATGAATGTTCTTACTCAAAAGAATTACATTTAAAACTACAATAAAATATTACTGCTCTCCCATTCCATAAACCATAATTCCCATGGGAAAATCCATTAAATAGAAAGGAAAAGAATCACCTGCATTTCTTCTCTTTCTTTCTCTCTCACATAAACACACCATACACAAACTCATTTCCTCATCCATGCAATTCTTACAGATTAACACAGTTGGAAGGGACCTTGTAGGTCATTTAGTTCAAACCCCGCCAAGCAGGAGAACCTACACCATTTCTGACAAATGGCAGTCCAGTCCCTTCTTGAAAGCCTCCAGTGATGAAGCTCCACAACTTCCTGCATTGATCTCACTGTCAGAAAATTCCTCCTTATTTCTAGGTTGAACCTCTCCTTGATTAGTTTCCATCCATTAGGATGTCCTTCAGGTGCTTTGGAAAACGGATTGACTTCCTCTATGATAGACCCCCAAGTATTGGAAGACTGCTATTATGTCTCCCCTGGTCCTTCTCTTCACTAGACTAGCCATGCCCAGTTCCTGTAACCATTCTTTATGTTTTAGTCTTCAGTCCTCTAATCATTTTGGTTGCTGTTCTCTGAACTTTTTCTAGAGTCTCAACATCTTTTTTGTAGTGTGGTAGCCAAAATTCTACATTACCCTTTTTTCCCTTTCTGCCTGCCACCTCCTGTTCTTAGTTCTGACTCTACAGGAATTAATCTTTAAGCACATTTCTCAGTGGTATCAATGAAAGCTGTTAAAAATCCTACTTGATAGATATATGTAAATATTTTGTTTTTAAACTAATAGCATGGGTTTTCGTGGGAGCAAAATAATGAGACTAAATAAATTCTATCTACTCAGTAACTATCATATTCAAATCACATAATAAAAACACAAGCTGTGAATCTCTGACATCATACACGAGAGGGCTAATATCTAACCAAATATGAAGACTTTCATAAGCCTTTAAATTATCCTTTTCCAATGTGATGACCTCGAGATATGATGGAATTGTAATTCCATGCTACTTTTTAATGCTAGGAGTTAGGGACCCAAAATATATGGGGAAGTACTTAATTTTTTAAAAGATTATACAGAAATTTAATATCTTTGTACAATATTAACCAATAAAATTGGATATTAATTAGCAAACCTGAATATAGTCTTTTCCTGCTTTTGGTAGAACTAATATAGGCCTGATTAAATGCTGCTGCTAAGATTCCTTTATGAAATATCTCATCAGATAATTCACAGGATTTTGGCAGCAAAAAAATCTTTAAATGTCTTATACTACTCAATGGGAATCCATCCATTCCTAGTGTTTTACCATTTCCCATTTTAAAAATTATTTCTTTTACCTACTGGTACCTACAAAGAGAGGAGCAAATAAAAGTTATTTTTGTGTGTCATCTAACTTTAGCAGGTTACCTTTATTTTAAAAGGCCTTATATCTTCATTTGATACATTCTCTGATTTGCTATGTAATGCTGGATAAAATTTTTAAAAATTGACTTGCTGAACATAAACTTGATAGTATAATGGTGTTATATAACTCTATGCAGATCCTGGTTTAAAGGGTAATGTGACTCAGAATATAAATGAATGCCCACTCAGAATATACATGAATGCCCAATACCTTATAGAAGCTTCATCTTTTTTGGGGGGGTCCATGTGACTACCTTCTGCCATTGATGCTTTCTTTATGGATATCACAGGAAGAGCTAAGTGCATGTCCATACATGCTATTCTCAGGCATGTCATTGAAGACCATCTGGAAGTTACAATTGGACTAGAATACAATGGAACACATAAAGTTGGATGTTTGCAGATTTTATAACCTGTTGCACAAGCTGCACTGGCTTTCAGTTTCCTTCCAAGTGCAATTCAAATTGACGGTCATTAACTTTAAAGTTCTATATGGTACAAATCCAGGAGATTGGTGAAGCTGCCTCTTCTTGAAGGTATCAGCCATCCCATGTGATTGGATAGAATGGGCACACTTCAATCCCTTCACTGAAATTGTCATCTAGAGGGACCTAGGAAGTATGCCTTTTCCATAGCTGTCTCCAACTTATAGAACACATTCCCCTGGCAATGTGGCGGGCCTCCACCCTGTTAGCCTTCCAGAGAGCAAATAAAACTGCAGGCATTACAGTAAAGAGGTGGAGCCTGCGGAGACTTACTGGAGCGCATAGGAAGGTCGCTGGAAGTGTGAGTTCCTAGTTTTTTATGTTTTTATGATTTTTATAATTTTATTGAAAGTTGTTTTAAAATAAATGGCCATATAAATCTTAAATTAATTAGGAAATTATATAATACTTTAATTTGATTCTACTGCAAGATACAATGAATGTATGCTGTCTGGGCAACAGTCTCTGAAAAGTTTATAATCACAATAACTTTAAAATATTGCCTGCATGTATGCTAGCATTTTTCCTTATCATCTTAAAAAGCTGCTTATTTTCTGCATTGTGAACTATAATATTCTATAAAGCAGTTTCTAACAACCTTTAATATATGTATTTCAAAAAGAAAATATAATGTTAGGGTTTCAATAAATCAGAACTTGAGAACTTAGGTAGCTATTATCTTTGAATTAATACGGCTAGTGTAAAAAATGATTTCATATTCAATTTTCAAAAAATGCAGCATAATTGGTTTTTCTGTATCATGTTTATTCTCTATTACAGTTGTATGACTAATGCAGCACAATGTCTATGATGTTAAGTTCTATAACTATCTAATAGTTCTAAAATAATTATTAAAAGCTCATACTGTCTATATCAAAAAGTTTGTCACTTTGATTAGAATAGCCTGAAAAAAATGAAAACAGAGATTAGAATTTAAGGGCCAAAAATTGTGGCCATAGTATTGATTTAGAACAATGGGAATGAATTTGGCAAACTAATTATAAACTAATGTTATCAGTCTCCTACAAGAAAAATATTTACAAAATGTTTTATCACTGGCATCTGCCACCAGCGAGATTAGCTAGAATGTTCCCCAAATTGTCAGCCAAATGTTGGAAGTGCAATCATAACCAGGGAACGTATTTTCACAAGTGGTGGACGTGTCCCCGAGCATGAAAGTATTGGCTTAAGATCCAGTCATGGCTAGAAGAGTTGACAAAACAAAAGATTAAGTTTAACCCAGAGACCTTCCTATTGGGAATGTTGGAACCGGCATGGGACAAGAAGAATCAGCATTTAATATTACACATTATTACAGCGGCAAGGATAGCTTTTGCCCCAAACTGGAAATCGACAACGGTACCTACAGACCTGGCAGTAATCAACAAAATTCACCAATGCACTGAAATGATTAGATTAACCATGTTTTTAAAAAATAAGGAAGAAGGAGATTTCTTTATAATATGGAATATATTGGTACAAATGGTTGAGAAAAAAGGAAGTAAAGATTTTTAGTGAAAATGGTTAAAGAAATTCTAGAGAAAAATAGGAAATAGCATAAATGTGTATATAGATATGTATCTATGTAAAGTAATGTAAATTAATAAATATTGTAATTTAATAATATAAATAAGTAAGGATTTAGTAAACAAGCTATAGATATATTTGTAGTAAATGAATTTACACTAATGGATATGTACACTGTTACAACAGCGCTGCAAAATGTGAACATGTTTCTCTTTTTTTAAAAAAAAAATGAAATTTTGAATAAACAAATTAAAAAAACAAGAACTTAATCTTCTCATGGTTTTGCAGTGCTATAACATGAAGTAAAGAGATAATTTTTGTGTGCTAATAAACGTAAGCATCACTAATATGCATAGATACCTCTTTCCCAGTACATTAAAAAAGCTTTACTAGTTTGTCATCAATTACTATTTATGTTAAAAAAACAACAACAAAGCTTCATATTTTTATTTCATTGTTTTGCTTTGCATGGTTAAATAGCCTTGAAAACAATTTCTCTGCGTACCTGCCATCTATGATGATAAACATTGTTTAATCAGAGGCACTTTAATTGCACTTGAGTGTTATGGAAAGATTTGAGTAGATAAAATTGTGGTGCCCTCTACTGAGAAATGACCATTGTTTCTTAACTAATTGTTTAACAGTTCAGTCGCATCAATCTCTTGGTGATTTTATGGGCAATTGCTCTCCATGGTACTCTGTCAATCACAACTTCTTTCAATTGTTAGATTTTCATTTTTATATTTGATGGTATCAAGCCAGCAAGTTCTTTGCTTGCACAATGAATTTGCACATATGACATGACCAAAATAAATTAGATATTACCTTGTGATTGTACACACACACACACACACACACACACACACTTATTGATATATCAAACTTATACACACCTCTTCCTCATAGAGGGGCTTTTATATATATATGTTTTCTTTCTCTGTGTGTGTGTGTATGTATGTATGTATGTATGTATGTATGTATATATATATATATATATATATATATTTTTCTTAAGTTTTTGCGGGTACTTGCATATATGGTATTCAGCTTTGTTCGGGTATTTTCCCACGTCATTATAGTTGTGCTTTTAAAGTTGTAGCAACATTTCGGCAGAATCTCATTTGCTATCATCAGGCTTCTGTATGGTGTTCGTCTGTGAGTCAGACACAATGTTGCCAGCCAATCAAGACAAAAAAAGCCACAAAACAAACAGAAGATATTCGAAACACCAATCAAGCAGAACACAGCAAACTCCAAGACCAATAAACACAGACCAAGACTCCCAACCAATCAGGATGAAGAAAAAGCCATTCTGGCACAGCAGTAGGCTAGCACCAAATTTAAAACAGAAATGGCTGTGAAAGCCTGACTCACAGACAAACACTACACAAGCCTGATGATGGCAGATGAGATTTTGCTGAAATGTTGCTACAACTTTAAAAGCACAACTATAATGACGTGGGAAAATACCCGAACAAAGCTGAATACCATACATATTTGTGTGTGTGTGTTTCAAGTCTATTGTATATTCTGAATATCGTGTGTACATAGATATACATACAGAATATATAATAGACTTGAAACATATGTTGTTGCTTACCACAGTTCAAATAGTTGAATATTGCAACATGAAATACAACATGCAGTTGTGATAATAGGGAAGTATTCAATTCTGGAGATTGGATCAGAGTATGTCTGACAAAGTTTATAAACAGCCAAGTGTATCAAGTTGATATTATGCTAAGGTTCCTAGAAGAAACATATGTTAATGTTTTATATTTATGTTTTTATGGTATTGTAAGCTGCCCCAGAGTTGCTTTGGATAGTGAGATGGGTGGCATACAAATTTAATTAAAAGGATATATTTTAAAATGTTTTATATTGATATGAAATCTAATAGATATTTTTCTGAAACAGTTGAAATTTGTATCAGTTAATTTCACATATCAGTTATACCAGAATTATATATCATTGTGATAGCCTTGAAAATATTTATCTAGAAATTATAACCCCTTCTGTGCCAACTCAGAAATTGAAATTAGCCAGCTGGAATTAATACTGAAAGAGCAAACCCAACTATTAATCTGCCCAAAGTAGAGGTTGGTGTTTTTTTTTTAAAGCTGTCTCCTAATTCTTTCCCACAATTTACAGATAAGGGGAAGGTCATAACTAACTGTAAACCTGATGCAGCTGTAAAATTAACAGATGAAGATCTGAAAAAATCCTTGGCAATGAAAACTTTGGTAAAGTTTCCTCAGAAGGCACAGTTTCCTTTTGAGATAACACCAGTTTTCTCTTCCACAAAAGGCTTAGGGAAGAGGTTAACGGATGAAGAACCATTCTCTTCATCTAGTTCTGAATCAGACTCTAGCTCTGATTCCGAAGATGATGACTTCAAAGAGAAGCCACACAGACAAAAAGAACTCCGCCACACAACTGACAATAAGCAGTTAGAATCAGATATGATAAAAACTGCTTCACAACAAAGGCCTAAAGAAATACATTTAAAGAGCAAGAACTTAGGCATAGTGAATGCAGAGAGTCAAAAGCCAACAGAAGTTTCATCTGGAAGCCTGGAAGTATCTCTCTCTGAAACTGATCCACGGAGAACTCCACAAAATATATCACAAAATCTGGAACAGGATGAAAACATTACAAAGAAAATGCAAAAAACTAAGATGCAAGAGATAATTTTTGAAGAACCAAGGCCTGAAGTTTCAAAGGAAAGAATTCCAGTGATAAAAAACACCCTGAAGGAGGAGATCATCCCAGAAGTAGAAGCTCAGATTGAAGAACAAAGCACTCCACAGGGTATCACTTTATCTTCTTCTGCATTAGTTCTATTGATTGAAAGGATTTATAGAAACAAATATATTCTGACTTTCCCATTATTTGAAGTAATGTCTTGAAATGTTTCTTCGCGCTTTCCTAATGTACTTTCTGAAGAAGGCCTTTTCACATTGCTCATGAACTGTTAGACTCTTTTACAGTTATGTTCTCTGATTCTCCCATTAAACTTTAAAGATGCTAATGGAAGATTTGAGGAGGGAGAGGAAACAGCATTCTATTTTTGCTATGTTCTCTTGTTTGAAGTGTTAAGAAAACTTAGAACATTCAAAACTAATGACCATGTGAAAATGTCTTCATAAAGGAAAGGAAAATTTTGTCACTACTTGCTAAAGCACAAACTATAGACATTTGAGTGACCTGTTTTCAGATTTTTCTTCTATCTGTACTTGCTTGTGGCTTAATGTTACTTTTTGTTTGAAACTTGCTATTTATGTGGTACTTTTCACTCTTTTTCATCCCTTCTTGAACCTTTTGACAGATACATAAATCAGTTCTGGAAGGAAGGAACTTTGTTAGGATGTGAAGAAAATAAGTGCCTGTAGGTTAGCAAAAATGTCATTGTTGGTGATTTAATCATTATGATGCATGTTTGCATCAGATAGTTTGCCTTTCAGCTCCCTTACTATCTGAATTTTCATTCTCTTTCACTCCTTGAATATTCTTAAAATATTCTCTTAATCTCAAAATACCCCAAATAAATTCCTAAAGTAAACATAATTTTCTTCATATTCTAAAAACCTTCCCATGAAGCTTTTCATGTTCATTTTTCTATATTTTAAATTCTGTAGTATATATCAGTATATTTAAGATCTATTATTTTCAATAATCTATCCATTTATAAACAAAGAAAATAATAGATACCAGTTGTAATATAAATTAACAAATGAGAAACTTAACATTCAACATGCATGTCAAAGTGATAAATATCCTCAAAGATTTTGAAGTTTAACACCTAACACCCCACCCCAAAAGTCCTCAATTATTTTGAGTTCCAGAAGGGGGCAGCAGTGCCTAGAAAAATAGTGGCAGAAAAGACATGTCCTGGCTCTCTTTCAGTTTAGCTTGGCTAGTCTAGAAAATTGGAACAGTAGATCAAAGAAGGTAAAATTAAAGCTGCCTATAAATAATAGTCTCTTAAAATGCAATTGTATACAGGTAGAACATTAATAATATAACTAAAAGCCATAGATAAATATTAATAGACATCCAGCTGGAAACCATTTCAGTGGAAGAGGCTTAAATAATTACTAAATATTGCTATAGAAATAGAGTATATTGAACACTGAGGGGTACATATCCAATATTCCCTGTATATTTACATTTATCTAAAATGTTTTAAACACTGTTAAGGATGGAAATGATTCAAAAATAATTCAATTGTACTGTAAAAGTATACAGTTAATAAAAGATAACATTCATTTCAGACATTAAAATCATCTGCCCAGTCACTATTAAAAATCAAACTGAGTACTTAATCTATAAGGAAAGTATCACTAAGAATAATTATGTGTCTATGCAGAACATTTGAAACTCAAAATTTTGGATTATTGCCCAGGCCTTTGAGATGGTATGTCATATGTTATACTTTAAAATTATTAATTTTGAAGCATCACTCCTTTGATAATATATGATGAGGTGGGGTAGAGGGCTAATATGTTGAGTGGAAAACTGAGCCATATAATTTAATGGTAAATGTGTTCTACTATTGAGAACTGGAGATGATTAGTTTCATGTTACAACCAGATTCCAGTCAATGACTGGATTCATACCATGCAAAATTAATGTATGGTTTGTTTGGCTTTAGTTTTGTACAGTGTGTGAATATATCACCATAGTTTTCAAGCAGTGGCTTATGCTTAAGTTGTGCTCTGCCTTTATATTCCAGCAAGTAAACAAAACAAAACAATTAACAATATAGATAATAATTTCCATTTATAATAATACATAAATCAGGCTTTTATGGCTCATTCAGCAAACAGCAGCTAAACAAATTATGGCTTCACGTCAAACCCAGGGATTTTTAAAAATAAAATTTCATTGAAGAGTGAACATATTTGTAGCTTTTGTGAAGTAAAAGAACAATTAGAGTGTTTAACACTGTTTATCTGTCTTATGTAAAAACTCCTTTGGAAAGAGATGGTTCTGGGTTTATAATACAATATGCATGTTTTGGTTTATATTCTATTGCTAGAAAAACAACTTGGTGGTGGAAGCTAATGTAAAATAAACATTGGAGATTCGGTTACATGCATATCTTGTTTGGAAATGCTCATCCCATGTATTTTGGTTTATTACTGTTTTTTTTTAATAACATATTGGTAATCAGTTGCAACTTAATACTGGATGTTCAAATTCTCTTTAACATTATTATATTCTTGAGTGTGTGAAATGTGGATATGTTTTTCACACATGTAAATCATTTTATTTCATTTCATTTTACTGAAATATAGCTTGCTTTGTGAAGAGAAGTTACATCTTTCCTACACTCAAACTTCCCTGAGGGAAACCTTATTGGGTTATAAAAACTGTTCATTGCCCACATTTCACAATCATAAGCCTATTTGGTAACTTTTATGTCCAGAACCTGTTCTATGTCACTGTGTTTTTGAGTTACATACTTTCTGAACAACTTCTATCTCTAAAACTGTTTGGTGTCACTCTGTTTTCCTTTAAGCTGTCCTACCTTGTCACTAACTTTTATTCTAACAGCTCAATTCCCAGCATTGCCATCTTATGTCATGTTTCATCTCTGGTGTCCTTTTCTTACTATCTTTTTCTTCAAAATTAAAGTAAAATCCAATTAATTTCTGGGAGATGTTATTTTTAAGGATCTACTTCTCTTGTAGCAATCACCAACCCTCTTCATTGTTTATAATTTTTCCTTTGGTTTTCTAAGTTAATATAGCTAAGAGGAACACGGCAAACACTTAAGATTGTACAGTTACTTTATATTTAAAGAATTTATTAAATAGCTAAATATGGGCTATAAAATGTTGATTTAAATTACAACATATCTAGTCTTCCCCAGCACTTAGGTACTCATAACCTATCTGTATGACACGTAGAAGCTTTCCTACGCAAGGTTCTGAGTCTCCTTCGCGCCTATCCTTCCACTTATAGCTCCCAAATTCCTCTCCCCTCAGTTCTTCCTCCCTCCAAATTGGGAGAAGGTACCCTGAAATTGGTTGGTTTGATTGATAGTTGCAGTCATCACATATTTACCCTACCTTCCCAAACTTAGAATCATTCACAACTGAATGATATGTGTAAGTCTCGAAAAAAAAATTTGTACAATCAAAACCTGATTTTGCTAGGGACTTTGTTTCTGTTCTCTGGGTTTACATTATTCTTTTTCTCCTTTTAGTGGCCAAGCCATCACATGAAACTGCTCAAGAAACATATGACATTTCTACCTACAAGAACCTGCAGCACCATGAATATCAACCATTCACTTTTGTGGATTTTGATGTCTTGTTGTCAAAATTCAGGCTTCCTCAGCCATCTTCTGGGAGGCTATCTCCAAGACATTGAACTAATTGTGGGAAACAAATAAATTCCGACAAAACATGCTTGTGAGTGTTATAAATTAATATTAGCATTAATTCCTCAGTTATTGCTGATTGTATGACAAATTAGTTCTAATAATTAATAACTTGATAATTCCCTTAGTTCATGCTACTGTGCAATATCATACCACACTGGTGGTAAATATCTATGTAATCCTGGTTCATAAAATTTATGCAGAGTACAAATTAATTGGTATTGAATGCTGATGAAGTATTTTTAATTAGATTATGGTGAGTATATTTGTTTTGCTAATGATGCAGTTTTAGAAGCCTAGTACCATTTGCTGAACTATGTTATTTTATCCTAAAGTAATATATAATGAATGTTATTATAAAAGATATAAAAATAATTGGCTTTATGTTTGTAAAAGCCTGATTCTGAGTATGGATGAATGAGGATGGATTGCCTGCACTAAAGTAAAGGGAATTGGCATGTAACACTGTTCCCTTAATTTCTACATGAGATTTAGCTTGATATCGAAAACTTTTTGGGAGATTAATATCAAATTAAAGACTTCAATAGGGGATTATTGACAACAGCCTATTCTTTCCAAAATTTACAGCCAAGGTTCTTGTGAACAGCTGAAGAGGCATTTCTAGGAAGAGTTGTTTTGGTTTCCACTTTGCCAGATCAAGTAAAAGTGAATAAAACAAGAAGAAATCGGTTTCTGCAGTTATTTGATAGGTTACAAAAGAAGAATGTATCTACATTTGTCTCTTAGCAGTGCTCATATATCTCCTTAATACAATGCCATTATGCCCTAATTTTTCAATCCCTCACTTCTAGTAAACATAATTCGCGATTCTTGAGATTAATTTTCAAACATGCTTCATTACTAGTTTTTTTAAAAAAATATTTTTCTCTACATCAAACAAAAATGCACTTTGTTTTATGCGAGATAATCATGATGCTGGAATCTTAGTTCTGAGGTTTTGTTTTTGCTTAATTTCATATTTCTTGAAATAACTGAAATAGAGGTAATTGTAATTAGTACAAATTTAAGAGCCTGAGCTTATGCTTCTAAAATTTTATAATCCACTTACTATTACCCACTTTAAAATACTAATTAGTTTCAACTTTATTACATAGTTAAGTTGAACTCCTGCTGTTCTTTTGTATTTTGTATTTATCAATTTTTAAACATTTGGACATCTAGGTCAAATCAGAGCCTTAAGATAAACATAGTTAATTGCTGCTGTTAAGGTCTAAAATCTGAATTATCTAGCAGTTAATCTTAAGTGATTTAAGTAAAACATTGCAAAGGAGTGTAGAGCATAGAAATATTTTCCCCAGAAATTCTTAAGAACAAGACCTGGAAAAGTGGTCATGATCCCACATTCTTCAACACAGGTAGTCCTCGACTTACAGCCATTTGTTTAGTGACTTTGAAGTTACAACAACACTGAAAAAATGATTTATGACACAACTGTTGCAGCATCCCTATGGTCATGTGATCAGAATTCAGATAATTAGTAACTGGCATGCTTTCATGACAACTGCACTGTTCCAGTGTCATGTGATCATCTTTTCTGATCTGACAAGCAAAGTCAATGGGGAAACCAGATTCATTTTTCAACTATGTTACTAACTTAACAATTGCATTGATTCAATTAACAACAGTGGCAACAACAGTTGTTAAGTGAATCAATGCAATTGTTATGTTAGTAACATGGTTGAAAAGTTGCCAACTGTGACAACAACAGACATAAAATGGTGCAAAACTCACTTAACGACTAGCAGCAGAAATTTTGGGCTCAGTTATGGCCACAGGTCGAGGACTATAGTCAAAGAATGGATCAATCTTTATAAGAACCTATGGGAGACTTTTGGAAGGTATGTTTTGTTTGATTCTATCTCATTTCTTTGAATTAAAACCAGCAAGTACAACACATTATCAGTTCATTACCACCCCGTTATTATGTATGGACAACAGTGTACTTAGTATTAAATTTTTATTTGTGTTTAGTTCCATCTGGGGAAAAATAAATACACTAATACACAAAATCTAATACCAGATTTCCAAGTGTGTTTCGCATGTATATTTTTGGGAGCGATTGAATAGTCAGTCACATTATCTAAATTTGATTTCACAGCTACTTCATACTACTTAATATACTATATTGTATTTAGTATAGTATACTTAGATGTACTATGTCTAAGTATACTAAGAATAATATACTTAGAGTTCAGCAAGGCATTCAACAAGGTAGACTACAATCTACTTCTTCGTAAGCTAGAAAAAAAGTGGGATAAATAGCATCATCAGATGGATTTGTAACTGGCTGATATACTCAACAATGGTATACATCTACATGGAGGGAAGTAAGCAATGGGGTACCACACTGTTCCATCTTAGGCCCAATGTTCTTCAAATACTGGCACAAAATAAACTCTTGGTTTGTTAATTGTATTTCCATTTTAAGTGCTTATTTTTCAATTAATGAATTGTAATTATGAAAATATCGCCCATTTTATATACACAGTGCAACATCTTTTTTATAGACTGTTATTTTCAAATCCACTTTTAGCTCCATCTCAGTCTTGTCTGGTGAAATTTGTTCCTCTTCCATAACATCTTTTAAAACACTAACTAGCTATAGCAGTGGTGGCTAACCTTTTGGGGCTCCTATGCCAAAAATTGTGCATGTGTGCCAGCACCCAGAAGGCAATGTGTACATGCGTGCGCAACTCTCCCCCCCCCCCCCCAGGGCACTGCAACCATCATAAATGTAAGTCAAAGCATCTGAATTTTGATCATGTGACGATGGGGATACTGCAGTGGTTGTGTGAAAAACAGCCATTTTCTCAGGGCTGTTGGTGACTTCAAATAGTCACTAAACAAATGGTTGTAAGTCAAGGATTACTTGCACTTCAGGATATATTCAGAAGGAGAAGAAGCGTAGCACTTTGGGCAAATGTTTTTCAAGGAAGCTACTGTATTTCATTTAAGGTTTTCATAGGTAGTGATAAAGTATTTGAATATTCCCCAATAATGCTTAAGTAATTGGCTGTGGCAAGACAAAAGGATTAAGACAGAACAGACAGAAGATTAAAATTTGGGTCAAGCAACAGCTATTTCTCTGCACATTATCTTAAAAACTGACTTCGTGGATTAAATTAAAATATTCTCAACTCGGCCCATCTGAAATGGAAAAATGCATATTTTATTGTATATCTCTTTAGGGAACCTGTTCGAATGTCAACATCTTAAGTCAAAAATTTGTGGCCTCGGGCAGGTTGGAAATAAATATGTATGTGAAAAATGTATGGAAATTGGAGAATTCAATATTCAAGGTAGATTTATATTTTGTTTTCAGACTGAATTTGACAATAATTGCTTACATACATGACCCCCCCAAATTTTTCCCCCTAATGAACCGGTAGAATCCCATCACTTCCTGAATTGAAGCTCAACAATTTTAGAAAACAATTTATAACTGAATGAAAAAAATCTAAAAGTTGCATTTCTTTTTCAATCTATTTTTACTAAATATTACTAAGCCTTGCATTCACACAAAATGTATAAAAGTAATTCATATTTGGCAACTGCTGTAGGAATATTCTGTGCTTTCTATTGGAAAATATATACAGTTCCTCCTGCAGAGGAATGGCTAATTAAATTGTGGGAATACGCCTTCTCAAAATAATGATGTATTGCAATTAGTACAAAACATTTAACTTGGAAACCTTACTTGGGTTATAATTCACTATATGAACTCTGAAATTTGGCCTTTGAACAAAGTTGTTCTAACTTTCAATAAAAGTTAATAAAAGTACATCTTCAACATCTTGGATAAAAATTACTGTAATTGTTAATCTCATTATTTTATACTGTGCTGATTATTGCTGTTGGGAGGGGGAAAAGAAGGAAGAACTCAGATGTTTACAATGACCTGTAGTTTTGAAATGATATACTCATTTACAACTGATTAAAGAGATATTGAAAAAAAATTAATTTTATCAAGCTTTTTAAGTTCTCTGTTTATGGGCAGGATGTGTCTTTTCAAAAACTTTTTCCTTTTTATTCCTTTTTCTCAAAAAAAAAAAAAAACAACTTAGTAACTTAATACAAATATTTAATTAAGAAAGAAACTGATAGTAACCAACCTAAGGAAGTCAGTTCCATGTACTCTGGCCATTGTAAGGATCATTCTGTTAAAAATGAATGCCTGAATTTTCTTGTTCTTTTTTCCTTCTCATAATCTCTTCCTTCTGAGGTTTATCTTTCTAGATTGTGTGTCAGTCTATTTTTATTCTATAGCTGCTTTAGATGCCTTCAACAATGAGTGCTGAGAAATATATCGGGTGGGATTCAAAAATCCCAGCAACAATTTTGCTGCCTGGTTGCTGGGTGGGTGTGGCCATGGTGGGCGTGCCTGTTTCCGGCTTCCAGTGGGCCTCCAGAGCCCAGGGAGGCCATCCAGAGGCCTCCGCTGGGCCTCTGGGAGGGCGAAAACAGCTTCCCCTGGGCTCAGAGGCCCTCCAGAAGCCGGAAACAGGACCGTTTCATGACTACTGGTTTTTCCAGGAGGGCTGTTTTTTGCCTTCTCAGGGGTCTGGAGGCTTCACCCGGGCTTCTGGTGGAGCAAAAATGGTCTCCCCTGTGCTCTGGAGGCCCTCCAGAAGCCGGAAACAGGCCCATTTCCAGACTTCCAGAAGGCCTGGTTTTCCCCCTCCCAGAGCCTCCGCGTAAACCCTGCACTTACCTCCATCAAAAATGGACCACGTGGAGACTCCAGGGAGGGGAGAGGTGGACAGGGCCAGACAGTTGGTTGAAATACCAGTTCAGCGAACCAGATGTAACTTTAAACATCCAGTTCACCCGAACCGGTAGAATCACACACCTGGAATATACCAAGAATGTAGTTAATCTAAATAATCTAAATTTAGTTAAACCTTTTTTAAATCAAATATGGCAACATATTTTAGATCTATACTTCACACTGTAGACCTATATACAATAGTATTTTTTTTTAGTTTTTCAGAAGTTCTGATGTGTATTCTGTAATAACTGGTTGTGTCTTCAAAAAAGCATTTATATAGCTGATCAGAAGCAGGGGGACTCCCCATATCACTGGTAGGGAAAATGATACCATCCATGATCTGGAGAGGAAAAGCTTGAACTATGTGCTATAAAGGAGTTCTTTGCTTTTGTATGCAAGGAGTAGAAAAAAAAGAATGGGGAAATGGGCTGAGCCATAGCTGAGGCAAAGATTTTCCGCTCCAGAGGCCTCCTTTTAAAACAGTCCCTCTTTTTTATCCAAAATAAAAGGTCTTATCTCTTGAATAAAATAGCAGAATTCCTGAAAAACACATGAACATTAGATATAATACAGAGAATAACAACAGGAGCTCCCACTGAAATCAGCAGGAAGTCAGTTAATAGAGATATGATCAAAAGGATAGAATTCATCATGAAGCTGTTGCTGTGCTAATGTCATGAAAAAGCCTAAACGTTTAATGTATTCTAATATTCACATGGTAAAATTTATGAACATGAATTAAGAGGCCTTTGACATCAACATT